TATAGAAGAGATTAGTTTAAGACATAAATCAAAGGTTAAATAGGTGAAAGAATGTGACAATATCATAAAATTTTTCCATAGAGTGGCAAATGGCAACGATAAGATTGCTTTATTGTAACCTGGAAGTCACGGATTCAAGTCGCAGAAACAGTCTCTCTACTTGCAGGAATACGGATGTATACATCTAACGGTCTACCCCTCCTCAGACCCCGCAATAGCTAGAGCCTCGTGTATTAAGTACACCCTTTTAGAGTGACAAACGGCAACAAGGTGAGGAATTTTATTGATAAATTGGTGCTTAATAATGTGACAATTATTAAGGAGGGTAATATTGAGGGGTTTTTTTTTTTTTTTTGCGAGGTTATACTTGACCCAGAGTGCTTCTAGACCTACTTTGAGGGGTCTTGTGTGGGAGCCCTACTGATCGAAGAGTTACAAGGAGGATGGAGAGACCTTTTGAGATGAAGTAAGGAGAGTTGTATTTGAATATAATAGAGAAAAGGCTCCAAGGTTAGATGTATTCACCATGGCCATTTATCAGGTTTGTCAGAATGAAATGAAGGACGACTTGATGAGAGTGCTTGAGGAATTTTTCCATAAAGTTGTGATCAATGGAGTTACAAATGTTACATTTATATGTCTTATCCCCAAAAAAAACTCATTCTCTGAAATTAAATGATTTTACGCCTATTAGTGTGGTTAAAGCTCGTGCAAGATTATTGCAAAGGTTTTTTCTAGAAGGCTCAGGGAATGATTGAGTGACAATATCAAAATGCCAGGGGGCACTTGTGAAAGAGAAATAGATTATGGATATAGCACTTGAAGCTAATGAGGTTGTTGAGGAGTATAGGATTAAAGGGAATGAGAGTTTTGTGTTGAAATAAACTTTGAGAAAACATATGACCATGTGGATTGAAGTTTTTTGGATTTTGTACTGGAAGTGAAGGGATTCGAAGTAAGGTAGAGGAAATGGATTAAGGAGTGCTTAGAGTAGTCGAATTTTTCAATTATAATGAATAACAGACTGAGGGGAAGGCATATAGTGGACTCAGACAAATGGATCCTTTATCACCTTTTCTGTTCACTGTGGTAGTGGATGGCTTGAGCAAGTTTATGGAAAAGGCAGAGATATGCAATTTGGTTGAAGGATTGGTGATTGGGAAGAAAGGACTAATGTATCTCATTTGAAATTCGCAAATGATACTTTATTCTTTTTTGGGGGGGAAGAATTTGGCATGACCTCTAGGATTAAGGTTAACACGGAAAAAAACATTATTGTGGGAATTAATTGAAGAGAGGAAAAGGTGAATAAGGTGGCTAGGGAGTTGGGATGCTCGGTGGGTGAGTAAACAATAAAATACGTGAGACTTCTCTTGGGTGGTAATCCAATGTAATGAACATTCTGGGATCTTGTTGTTCAGAAAATTGTCTGAGAAAATTGAATCGAAGAAATCTTTTATTTCTAATGGGGTAGATTAACATTGATTCAATTTGTTTTGCCTAGCATCCCAATTTACTTCATGTCTCTTTTTAAAAGGCCTAGTGTAGTGGCTACAAAATTGAACGCTCAATTAATGAGTGATTTTTTTATGGGAAGACGGGAGGGGTAAGGAACGACCATTTGATTTGTTGGGAGGTGGTGACAAGGACAAAAGATAAGAGAGGGCTTTCAATTGGAAATTTGATGAATAAGAATGTAGTTTTTGGTTGGGAAATGGCTTTGGTTGTTCCTTTTGGAGCAAGATTCATTGTGGCATGTTATTATTAGGAGCAAGTATAGATTGAGGCAAATGAGTAAGATGCAAATAGGATTGAAAGAAGTACTTTTCGAACTCCTTTTCGAACTCCTTAGAGGTCCGTTTCTTAGGGTTTTCCTAGCTTTTCTCAGAGAGTAAAGTTCATCATCGAAAATAGAACTAGGGTGTGTTTTTGGAAGGATATATTGATAAGTCTTCTTTCTCTAGTCTCTTTCCACGTTTGTATCGTGTCTCTTGTTATCAGGTACTTTGGTTACATCCATGGCTCAGTCATATTCTAATCTAATTTCTTAGAATATTGAATCTCACTGGAATCTCAATGATTGAGAGTGTTCATAATTGTTGATTCTTTCTATGCTTAATAATGTTTTATTGGTTCAAAATCCTGAGGATCGGAGGTATTAGATTGGTAATTCGACTGGGGGCTTTTTCTTGTAAATATTTTTGAGTCTTTAACTAATGATCTTTTATGTCCTTTATTTGAACAATCATTGAAGATTTGGAAGGTGAATATACCTTTAAAGGTGCATGTTTGTGCATGGATAATTGCTCATATGAAGATAAGTAATAATGAGATCTTTTAAAAGAGTACACCAAATTATTGGCTTCAACTGCACATGGTGTTACGTGTAGAGGTGATAATGAGAGTGCGGTCACTAATTCTTGCATTGTTCTTTGGCATGAGCATTATCGAACAAGCTTTTCGATTTGTCGGATTGTCTTGGGTTGCTCCTAAGACTATGGTATCTATGTTTTGTACAGATGACGTGGGGTTTGAAAGAAATAGTAAATGGAAGACAATTTAGCATAGTGATTTCTTTGTTACATTACGGGTGATTTGGAAGGAAAGGAATGTGAAAGTTTTTTAGGATAGGTGTGAGGTGGTAGAGGGATTATAGGATAGACTTTTATTTTTTGCCTCTTTTTGGGCCTCAATGTCAAAGGAATTTGAAGATATTCCTTTCTTTTTTGTATTAAGACAAGCTGCAAGGCATTGTGTGGCTTGTAATATGTTTACTTTTTTATGTTTTCATGGCCCATCTTGTGTTGGACTTCTTGTCCACGTTTGATTTGGTTTTATGTAATGATCCCTTTATTTATCAATAAAATTCACCATTAGAACTATTAAAGAGACACTAATGTGTGAGGTGTCGCCTTTCAAGCTTGGTCACATACCTTTAGGGTGCGCCAGGATATAGGATTGCGATGCACAATATGTTGGACGTTCCAATACTTACTCTTTTGTTATTGGGAGATTGAAGTATACAGTTGTGCTATAGATTCACATGCAGTACAATTGAAAAAGACTTTGCTATTGATTCAGAAAGCTTCTCCCTCAAATAGTATTCTTGGTCCTCTTGTTTAGTCGTCGGAATCGTGTGGTTTTCAACAAAGGAGAATTCATGGTGTGTATCTATTGATTGACCAGACCAATATAATCAACTTTGGAAGCCTACGCAGAAGACTGAATTTTTGGCCCAAAAGTAATTGTGATTGGTAGTTCATTAGGATTAGTTTCATCATTATTTGTTTGATTATTTAATTTAAGAATATTTATTTGACTAAGAGTATTAGTAACAATTTGATTGAAAAATTATTATACAATTTTAGTAGGAGAGTAATTTGCGAGTTTGATTATTAACTCTTTCAGAAGGAGAATAATTTTTATTTTGGTAGGAGACTTGGCCTATAATGTATAAACATCAATATAGTCCCTACTATTTCATTAGAATGTGAGATTAATACAATTGTTTCATGTGGAGAATTTGTGTTTCTTGACCTAATCCTTATGAGGGTTTAGTATCTCTTCTTCTTTTCTATTATCCGATTTATTTCTCCTCCTCGTCCTACATCACTATAACTCAACTAGTGAGAAAGGGTAATGTAATATCCATCGATGCCAATGCTGGGGTAGTGCAGACAAAAATTAAATTTGAAAAGATAATAATGATATGACAAATTGCGATTTCAAAGAATATGACCTTTGATAGAGCACAATGACCAAAATGTCCTTTTCTTCAATATGAACCAATGACCAAAAATGTTTTATTAAGAAATTAATAGCAATGTGTAGCAGAAAAATGACTCCAAAAAAATTGAATATATTGCAGGAATCAAAGACACAATGAATAGGTAGGTTAGTTATAAACATTCTCTGAAAGCTTAAAAACTGAATGTACTGACAACTGAAATTAAAGACAAAATGCAAATCAATGTTTTCGTCCAATGTATAGCTAGGTAAAAGCATACTATGAAGCCTAAAAATTGAAGTGTATATCACTTTGTTTCCCTCGTATGGCTAGGTCTAACTGTATAAGCATACTCTTAAGCGCCTTTTTTTTTTTTTAGTTGGGGGAGGGGGGAGAGGGGGAGGAAAAAGGGGCTAGAAAGCATAGATACGGATACGATATGGATACAGCGATTCGGCAAAACCCCAAAAAATAGGATACTGGTACGACCAACATACATCTATAAAAACGTGTATCTTATATTTGTACTATTATGTAATGACTTGATAGCTATAAGTTTTAGTGATTCTTTAACAATAATAAACAACATTAACAATTTTTATTTTCAAAAGGCCACCTATTGTCTCACTATAATATATCTATAAAGTGAACACGATTAATTAAAGGAATAAGAATCAACATTTAACAAAACTGTTTGCTTAGAAGTGTTTGTTGCTAAGATTATTGAGTAATTAACTCATTTATACTCTTTAAACGTGATAGTGAATAATATTTAGAAAACATCTATGTGTCTTCAAAGTTATATGGATTGTTATTGATGTATTGCATTGTATGTTATATCGAAAGGAAATGGTAAAGATTAAAACTATAAATTGCACAATACTTCTATGCATATAGAAATATCCGCGAAGTATTCATATATTTTATTTATTTTTGGATATGTTTGGTGTGTATTCGATACAAATCCTCGACAATTGTATCTAATACGAATACATTGACCTTAACAAAGTATCCATACTTCATGGGGGAGGGAAGAGGACTTAAACCCTTGCCCTCAAAAAGACAGAGACTGCACAAGGCAAGAAGTACCATTGGACTAAAAGTCCATTGATGCATACTCTTAAGCTTAAAAACCCTTTTCCCTGCCATTCAACCTTTCACCATTTAGGGCTAAGAAATTCAATCATGCAAGAGCATTCAGATTCCATCTTCCCATTGAGAATTAGAAACACTATCCCTTCGTCCAAAAAACCTTTAAACTTGTATTACTATTTTAAACCTTAGAAAACAATAACATAAGAAAAGATTTAGGAATGCATGCCTTTGTTCCTTGCTTCAAATTACAGCCTCGCAGATAACCATACAAGATGACATTTCTGTCACACTTATTATTCATCTCCACTCTTTCTGGAGGTGTCACATCCTCAAAACGGTCTACCAAGACATAAGGATGAGAAGTTCGCCAAGACAAAGGGTGAAACTTCATAACAGAAATGAACCTTGCAAGATTATGAATCTCGCGTTTGTGATACCTGTCATTCAGAATTTAAAACTAATGAGCACCAAGCTCAAATGTCCAAAAAATCCTTCGATGCAGCAATGAAGATGTAAAATGGCCAAAAGGCAGTGAAATACTTACCTTCCATGGATTAGACCAGATAAATAAAATAGTTTAGCCCCATCATATATTTCAGTCCAGAATCGATGCTTGAGCCGTTGCTTTGTTTTTTTAAGTTTCTTTACATCCTTGAATTTATCAATATGTGTAAGAACTCCCATAACCTTAGGGAATCCATGCACTTGCAAGACATTAAGAAACTCAAAGGTTTCCTGCAAAAGCAAAAGGTACCAGTACATTCAAAAAGTACAGTTAAATTCCGAATCACACCTAACAGAGTTAGAAAGATAATTAATGAGCATGACAAACCACAAAGTTCTACAGAGCAGAGTTAGGAATGTATTTTGAAAGCAATAGAGTTTAGACCTTTCCGATAAACAAAGCATTTAATCGAGTGACAGGCACTGCACAGAAATTAAATCATTTGGCCGGAGCTCATAGAAACTGCAAAAGGAGTTTCTCACAACCAAGAAATTAGATGCTTCATTTATACCAGAAATTTCCTAAATCCAACTTAAAAGAATTTGATGAGCATGTTCCAAAAGCTGTTTATCTGAGTCGCAAAAAAATGCCAGGACAATTCTTAGATCTTTCGGTTTTGAAAAGAAATATATCTTTACAAAGAAAACACAAGAACAATGTTTTCATTCCAGATATGGCTACATTTATTTACTTTTTAACGCGGGGGAGGAAGCAGAAATTCAAAGAAACTACAAAGAATAAAAAAAATTATCGAGAGTTCACTCTATCTACCCATAAAATTAATGTAGCCAACTCTCTATTTTCCCATTTTTAGCCATTTTACCTAGCCAAACACTAAAAAAAACTCTCCAACTCACTCTCTATTTCCCATTTCACCCAAATATCTCTCCAAATTTGGAGAGCCATTCAGACTCTCCAAATTCTCTCTCTCTCTCTCTCTCTCTCTCTCTCTCTCTCTCTTATATATATATTACAATCCCCTTCAAATTATTGAAAGTTTAGCTAAAGTTAAGTGAAGTAGTTAGCTAAAATAGAGAGAGTGTGGTTAAGTGAACTTGTAAAAGTGACTATTTAAAAAGAAAATGTAATATTTAAATATATTTTGAGTAACTAAAATGGAGAGTTGGGTGAGAGATACTCTAAGAATGGAAAAGTGAGTAGAGTAGCCTTGGGATCACCTATTTAAACAAGTCAAAGTGGTGAGAATAGTGACCGTTATATCACACACGTCCTGCCCCTATGGGACTATGAAGCACTAACTCGTGATTTAGGATTACGTATTTGTGTCCGACGCGTCTAGGACACAGACACGTGTCGGACAAGCAAAATAAAGTGTCCGCCTTTTTTTATTATTTCTTTGAATTTTAGACACGCCAGGGACAAGTTGGGTAGGCATCGAACACGTTAGGGTCTAGTTGAAGTCAATTTGCAATCTTTGGAAAGTCCACAGTAGGTAGTTTGTAGAATCCAACGAAATATAGGCACATCCCAAAACAGAAAAAGAAACAGGGTTGCATCACAAGAGTTGAGCCACTACGACAGAGCCCATGATCCATGTTTTTAAAAACTCTCAGGAGCTTCCACTGCTCTGTTGCATGCACCAGAGGTTGTAGTGAGGGACTGAGAAGAGAGATGGGAAAGATACAGGACTTATATGGAGAGAGAGACAGAGAAGGGTCGATGGGAGTTTTGAGTCTCATAGTATTTAGCATAGGGCAATATCACAGATGGAAGCATTGTCTTTTTCCAAAGCCAGCTGTAGCTTTTTAATTGGTTAACCAGAATTCCCTTATCTCTTTATCCGTCGTTTATAACTTCTGTGACTTATCTGGACTTTGGTGGTGGGCTGTGGATGGGCCTAATCCATGAGACTTCAACCATTGTTTTGGGATTTTTCCTTAGTCCGGTGGAGTTTATCAAGTGGGTTTGTGCTTTGGCTCCAATGCTTCTATTTTATATATAATTTATGCCAAACCTATGACAGGATCTGGGTTAATTTTGTTAACACATGACAAAAATTATGAACGTGTACTCTCATAAAATATATATTGGGCAAAATCCCAATACTCATGGTTATTTAAAATGAAATGTATATTTTATTCAATGTGTTCCTGTTCTATTTTTTAGAAAAATATCGTGTCTTCCTGTCTACGTCGTATCATGTTCATGTCCCGTATCTATGTCCTTGCTTCTTAGTCCTTCCCCCTTCAATCCAAGCCATTGGATTGGCATGCCACAGTTACAAAGAACAGGCTTAGCTTAAATTCATTACTTATATCTTTCAAAACAACCCAAACATGATTCACAAGATACTCAAATCTCTCCACATTTATTGTCAAATTGATAGGCAGACAGCCACCCTGCAACACTAGAACGAACCAGTTGTCATTGTGCATAACTCCCACTTAATACTACTCATCATTAGGACATGCTTGTCAAACAACTGCTACTACTAATGTGCCGCCATTTTGTGAGCAAGGAACAGATGCAAGTGCAACTCTATTGTGTGTAGCAAATGTGCATGAGGGCAAAATGTAGATTCCCTCAAAAGATCATGGCAGTGGCTTGACCCCACCAAAAGAAGGCCAGAGCTACAATATATCATTGCAATATGTACAAAGGTGGGAAAATGTCTAGATTGTTGAGGCTCGAGTATTTTTAGTTTCTGTCATTTCTTTTCTTTTCTTTTTTTGTAATAGGAAACATGAAATTTTATTGATCATGAAAAAAAATTCATAAAAGAGTACATAAGAGGACAAGGTGTCCTCTTGATAAAACTTACATACCAAAAAAGATACATAAAATAAAAGAAAAAGATTAAAAGCAAATCTATAAATATAGCCTCGACTATCGACACACACTTGAGGTCAATGATCCTTCTGTTACAGTTTTTCTCTTTTCATTTGTCTCCTTTTTCCATTTAAAGGACTACTTGTCATCTTATGTATTTTCCACAAATATTTGTTAGTAAAATTCTTCTGTTTTTGATTAAAAAAATATCCAAAGGGTGATCCTTACTTGTGTAGAGCTGGAAGAGCAATGAAAGGTTGTGGGTGCTATAAAGCCATCCCGATGGCTACTCACTATCCCCTATCTTCTTGGTTCCCAGCCTACAATTCTCCATATAACTAGTTGAATAGATGCAATAAACTAGCATGGTGCATCTAGTCACTATCCAGCATGTTCGATAGAACACTCAAGCAAAACTACCCTCTACCGTCCTTATAATGATGTGATTCCAAAGGTAGCACATTGGTGTCGGGCCTTTCTCCGCTCAGATAACAGAACTCAAAGCAACTCCACATTGAATTTTATGGCTTTTAGCAGTCCATACACCTAGAAATCTAGAAGGCACATTGTTTAAGGTATTGGAAAGGATGCCTCACTCCAATGTCATGCACATATGCCCAATATGAGGCATAATGCCCCAACGTGTGCAGGAATAGAAAAGATATATCAAAAACTCTATACAACCCCCACACTTGCATGATAGCCCCTTCCAAACCAAACCTACACAATTCAAGTCAAAATCTTCCACGACAACATCGTGACCAACGTCAGTACGCAACTAACCATTTTCGAAAGGCCTTTTTGATGCAAGAGCATGCTAAATGTGAAGCATCATTCCCCGCACTAATGGGATCCACCCCAATTGCCAGGAACTTGGGTTATGGGATAAAGGAATTGATTTGACATTTCCCATAAGTCGCAGCTATTAGGCCAAGTAGTTGGGTCTTCATTCGTCAAATGATATCAGAGTGAGAGGTCTTGCGTATGAGGCTCTTCCGGTCTAAATGTAAAAAAGCATACTAGGTGTGGAGCATCAAATCTAGTACTAATGTGAGTCCACCTAGATGGACTACAACTTGGACTATGGGATTAAAGAATTAATTCCACCTCTCCCACATGTTGTAGCTTTTGGGCCAAATGGTTGGGTCTTCCTGCATCATTTTTTCTTTTCAAGACTTCAAGATAGACTCGTACACACACTCTCTTACACATTGTCCTGAAACCCTCAAAATTTTGTCCCTTACCGCCAAGGATCAAAATATTATTTTGAAACGATCGAAACATCTACAACGTTTCCATTTCCAAGGAGACTGAAACGAATTAGTGCTGAAATCGAAATTATAATACTTCAAAGTGTTTCATAATGTTTCCATTGATGAAAATATCATTTTAAAACGATCAAAACATCCAAAACATTTCTGTTACCAAGGAGATCGAAACGAATCAGTGATGGAATCAAAATTCTAATACTTCGAGGTATTTCATAATTTTTCGAAATATTTTGTTATATTTCAATACATTTGTACAATTATTTTAAAATGTTTCAATGTATTTCAAAATATTTTGGTATATTTTTACCGATGTTTTGAAAAAATAATTCTTAAATTTTTTATTTTTTTTATTCTGTTTTCAAAACGGGTCGAAACGTTTTTGTTTCTTAGGTGACTGAAACAATACACCAAAACAAAATTTTGATCCTTGAATGTTTCGAAATATTTTGTTATATTTTAATACATTTGCACAATTATTTCAGAATATTTCAAGGTATTTCAAGATAATTTAGTATATTTCAACCTATGTTTCGAAAAAATAATTCTTAAATATTTTCATTTTTTTTATTTCCATTTTCGAAATGGGTCAAAACATTTTCGAAATATATCGAAACGTTTTTATTTCCTAAATGACCGAAACAATGCACTGAAACAAAATTTTGATCCTTGCTTACTACCCAAAGGGTGATTCTTGCTCTTCCTCCATAAACTGCTCTCTCTCATTTCAGATTGTCCCACTCTCCTTACCTTCCACACTACTTCTGGGATCTTATGCCATAATCCCTCCTTTAACACTACCTCAATTCTTTTACAATACAAATATAGCTTAAAAATTATTAATAGTAAATCATATATATGAACATAAATAAGGATGGAGGAAAGCAACAAAAGCCCGAACCATTTCAAAGCCGTAGCTTCCGTCAATGAGAAGCAACGCTAAATCAGCAAACTTTACAGCATCAATCATGCCATTAATATCATTTGGGCACTCCATAAATTGTAGCCGCCTTTGCTTACCTAATATAATATAATAATTCATTCATTCAATACCTCTGTAAATAACAATCTCCGTATACAAACATCACAAAAGCAATTTTTATAAGAAGCGCAAATTGTTTCAACCTGATACAATTGTAATGGGGCCTCTGACTTCGGGAAGGTTATGCTTGGTGTAATGCTTAACAAGTGACTTTATGAGAAGTGACTTCCCCACCTAAGAGACCGAAAAAATACATTCAAAATCAAATAAATCAAAACCCAACAAATTTTGCTCCTACTTCGCTCTGTTACTGGAAATTACCTTGGGAGGGCCCTGGACAAGAACAACATACGGGGCTGGTTCTCCAATGTTACGGTCAATAGTTGGGACATGAAGCCTACGCTGCTCTTTCTCAGTAGCACGCGACTGCAGTCGCTTGGCTTTCTCCGTAGAACTAAATGCAAAAGCCTAGAACATAGTCACATAACTCAATACGCTATCAAATAACACCGAAAATCAATATATGTGTGAAATCAACAATGGACCTTAGGGTTGTGCTTTTTCTGGTGGTCAGAGATGCCGCCCTTCTTGCTACCGGGTTTGGCCTTCTTCTTGGCGGAAGGACCGGATTGACGGGACCGGTGAGACTTATGGGACTGCTCTTTGGTACCACTATCCATTGCTACGGTATCAGTAGCTCAGAAACAAACCCTAGAAAGTACAAAACGAAGACGAAAATTGAAACATCAACCAGAATAGTGTCTGTTACATTAGAGTTGGGAGGTATTTGGGGTTTAGCAGTACCTGGAGTGGAGGAGGAGGTGCTGGTGGTGGCGGCAAAAGGAAAACCGGATTGGCGGCGGTAGCTACTTCCTCTACGACAAATACTACCAGCCGAATAAAAAATAGGTATTGAATTCGCCAACAGAATTAAAATATCACGGGTAAACCTCATTCCCATTCTTAGGTCTAAATTTAGTGCCACTCCTATTTCTTTTAAAATTTTACACGCACCCCACGTCAAAGATTATCAGTGGCGTAAATGGAGCCAATAAGTGCTTTTACGTAGAGTAGTTGATGTACATGTTCAATGCACGTGAAATAATTTGATAAATAGATCTTATACCAATATGCATTACATTTTTTTTTATCGAATTTTAACCGTTTTTAATATTATCCAACTATTTTTCAAAACCAATTAAAAAAACTCATTCTTTACTTTTTGTGGTCAATGCTTCTAATGTTTGTCAAATATGCCGTTGAATTTTTGTTATTTGATATAACTAAAAGTGTAAGATTGTTAGAACAATATCTTTATTTTGGTTTCATATGGTTATCATGGCTATTCAATTAAGAACAATGTTATGCTTACTAAATTTTGTATCTCAAATTAGTGTAGGCGGTTAGATCAGTGAGTCCTCTAACTTCCACCAAACATTTAATGCATAGGATTTCGACACATCATTTGGGATATGACCTTTGGTAAACAAATTTGAGAAGCATATTTTTATGATAAAACTTTTATCCTTTAAGTATTAGCATTATACTACCGTAAAAAGTCCCATGTCCAAATCAAATCAATGTTAATGTAATTGTTATCTTTCACTATTTTTTCTTTAGTCAGCTATTGTTTGCAATGCTAGCAAATTAGTCGTTGTTACCCTTTACATAAATCGATCGCTTTACAACTAATTTCTAAATTATCTTTGTTATATAGCAAAGAAATGTTGAGTAGATTCTCAATGGATTCGATACAAAAGTTTTGTACATGACAACTAAAATGGGTCGTTGATATAAGTCACACTTTGTTCATCATAACATTTCAAGACAAGCATAATGTGGATTAATAAATTACAATACATTCGAGATGGAAGGAGTTTAAAATATTCATAAACCATAAAATATATAAAAAAAATAGACAAAATCAACAATGCTAAAGCCAAATTACAAACAAGCAAGAGTCTTTCTTTCAAATTGAACTGTATTCATCATAGGCAAAGTACAATATGCATTAAAAAACTAAAATAGATTTAGAGAAAGACAAAGTCAAAAACCTTCATAAACCACACTACATATTAAAAACCAAATCAAAACATTTAATGGTTTAGTAAATTTAGCAATTCATAAATTTAGTAATAGAAAACTTCGAATGGATTTATCTGCATTTTTTGTTTACAAATGTGAAATGAAAGACTGCAATTTTTCTTTCTAATCTTTTCCTTATTGAAGCTTTTTATTTTCTTGAACTTTGTTTTTTCATTGTTCTTCATATTTCTTTTGCAATTTGTTTACAAACTAATTCATCTTGCATCTTGAAAATTAGCCATAAATATGATCACGTGAGTCTTAAATGATCTTTATCCTCTTTGGACTTATGTCTAATTCTTTCATATTTTATCGACCAAGAGCATTAAATACTACAACATAGTTCGTGACTGTGCAGCTGCACTAGAGGGTTCCCTTCCAATATACTAAACTTTAGCTCCATGAGTTCCAATCTATTTTACTTCTTGATCGTGATCTTGCCAACACCTGGAAAAGGAAAATGTCTGCCCCTACTCTTTTAGCTTGCCATAAAGTTAGAATTTTGATTTTGGGATTTAAAATGTTCTAGATCTATCAATTATAGATCAAGCAAAACCAATCATTCCCTTTTTTAATAAAAAGTGAGTTCTAAACACATAATCATCATTGTTTAGCTTAGAACACCCAGTAGCAAGATGCAACAATTAGATAGTAAATGGGTTAATATAGTAATAAGCTAGGGTGTCAATTTGTGTCATGTCGTGTCATTTACGTGATGCTATTTTGTGTCGTGTTTGTATCAATAACCACAAAAAGAAATTTATTTGATGTGTTATAAGTGTCATAACATTAATCAAACACATTAATTATACATATTTATCCTGTAAATTCTAAAGTCTAAAGTCATGTTGTGTCAGGTTCATGTTAATAAATTAGATTTAAATTAAAATCCACAACCTTTATCAATTAAACTTTATGAAAGTCTAACTTCAAATTATTTTTGCCCTTTACTTTCAAAAAACCCATGTGAAAGTCATAACTATTGAATCATTAGATTAACTTCCTAGCAATCAATTAAATCTCTACTAAGACAAAATTGGATAGGCTTTCTAAATTTTTATTTTAGAGAAGAAATCTTTTCATTGGACAGGTTAAACATGCAATTTTCACAAATAATTGGTAAAATAATCTGTGACATTTTCAAGTTTTCTAAAATTTATACACCAAATTATTTATAAGTGTCAAAGTAGCAACATAATTTCAACTGTTTAAATTGAGAATTGTAGCTAAAATTAAATGCCACGTTACAAAGAAACACAAATTTGGATGCCTTTTCTAACCCACTATTTGCACACAAAGTAACAAATTAAACCAGTCTCGCACCCGTTGACTTCAGTCTCCTCAATTATAGTGCTTTGAGTAACATCAAAAAAAGATAGATCACCTGAATTTGTAGAAGATCGCCGGAAGAGAAGCAAAAGAAAGCTTTTAGTATTCACAACAAAATGTCAAAAAAAATTTATTTGAAATCTTCTAACAAACAAATTTGCTTTTGAAAATTCCAAATGTGAATTTTAATTATTTTTGGCCTATCAAAATAGATTGCACTTCAATTAACTATAAACAAGTAACTAAAGAGTAGATCAAATCTAGTGAACCTGAAAATGAGTGTATTCAGATCTAGAGTTCAAAGATACTTACTTGGATTTCATAGACATGATGGTGTGGAAGTAGATGGTTTTATGTTGAAGTTTGTCACTTATAGAGTCTTCTTCGGTTTAGTATTTTTGGCTTGTGATGGGTTTTTGATTGTCCACTTGCTCGGCCCAGGCACTCTAAGGGACTTTTTGCCTGCTCACATTCACTTCAAAAGTTCATTATTAGTTGAATTCAAATTAGTTACATAGGCAATTAATGAATAATGGATAGAATTGGATTTGTATTAACTGATTAATTAAGGATAAAAATTGAAAAATAAAGGTTTTTCACTTTTGTTGGCATTTTATAGTAATATAGATAAATGTATAGTAGTTATTATCCGTGCCTAAATACACTATACAACAAACAAACAAAATTTAAACAATTGCCCAAATTTAAAAAAAATTGCCTAAAAATATTCATATCAATTCTTTTTTTAAATTGACTCAAAAGATATCGTCAATCATATCTCTATATTAATGAAACTATCATAAAAATATATAAAAACTCCACAAAACAACATCATATATGCAACTATCTCTTGGAAAAAAAAATACTAATATAACCCATTGAAATTTACAATCTTTAAGTGATAAATATAATTTTTCTCATTTATAAGACTCACAAATTTATCACATCTACTACTACTCAATCTAATAACACAATATAATTATAAATTCAACCACCATATTTCTAATCCACCTTATCCTCATGTAATAAATACCTCAAGTTGGGGAATAATTATACAAAATGTTGGTATTGATTTATTGTTTGAAAGTTGGTTTTACTTTTTCATTTAATTTATTGATACTGCGTAAATTTGAGATCAAACGAACTGTCATTGTTTTCTTTCAAAAATTATATATGATATTTGTGAAATTAGACCTACTTGTTTCATATGTTTTAACACCTTGTTTCAAGTTTGAGAAAATTTTCTTACAGAGCTTAGTGCTCACCCCATACAAGCAATATCATTTTTAGATTATGGTTTAAAAGAAGAGCTCAGAGTTGATAAGCTAATAAATTGGGAAGCTCAAATCAATGGGAACATGAATCCTAAGGTGGACGTTTAGAGCTATGTTCCTTTATGATCTAGATTGAGAGGCAAACTTTGAGACAAACGTTAGGGCTAATATTTTCTTTATTCCGCTGCAAGATAATACTTGATTTTTGGGACGTAATTGTCATGGTTTGACATATTTGTTTTGGATGATATTTTGGGTTATTATAGATGATGAAAGAAATTTTGTTTATTTATGAATTTTGTTAGTTGCTCTCATGATATGAATGATTATAGATAGTAATGTCGTCTAAGGTGGATTTTGGGGCGTTACACTGACATTATTATACTAGTTATTGTCTGTGTCTGAAGACACCATACAACAAACAAAAAAATTAAATAATTGCCCAAATTTAAAAAGAATTGCCTAAAAATATTCATATCAATTCTTTTTTTAAAATGACTCAAAAGATATCGTCTATCATATCCTCCATATTAATGGAACTGTTATAAAAATATATAAAAAATCCACAAAACAACATCATATATGCAAATATCTCTAAAAAAAATACTAACATAACCCATTGAAATTTACAATCTTTAAGCCATAAATATAATTTTGCTCATTTATAAGATTCACGAATTTATCACCTCTACTACTACTCAATCCAATAATACAATATAATTATAAACACAATCACCATATTTCTAATCCACCTTATTCTCATGTAATAAATACCTCAAGCAAAAAAAAAAAAAAAACCAACTAACATAACACAATTAAATTCTCAATCTTTAAGCACTAAATAAAATCAATTGAATCTTGCTCATTTATAAAACTTATGAATTTATCACCACTATTTCGATTCAACCCTAAATGACACAATATAATTATAAATTTAATTACCAAATGTCCAATCCTCCACATATAAATATATATAGAAACACGCCCACACACATTTCTTTTTTGGTTATTGACAAACCCTCTTAACTAATAATTGTTCAAGTTTTTAAGATAAATTAATATTTAATTAAAAAAAGGGTAAAAATCATGGATATCACCTGAGTTTTGACAATATTATACGTACACCTCTTGATATTTTATAAATAATATGGAGACCTCTGATGTTTAAATTCATTGCACTAAGACCCCTCTGTCTTTTTTCTATCAATATTATTAATGAAAATTGATAATTTTATCTCAAAAAACTTTA